CTACCTTTGAATAAGAGATAGACTGATATTGGCACTCCGAAAGCCATTTCCAGCTGTTGTTAAACAGTATCTTTCTTATCCTCCCAGACTGACGGGTGGAAGGTTTTTATTGAGCTCTCCCGAGTCTTTCTTGTATTTATATTTCATGAAGCGTCACCTGCCGTTCTTACCAATCAAAAAAATATGTACTTTTGGCAGGAGCTGTAGGTAAAGCCCTTGAGGCGCTCACACACTTATTTAGGATACCTGTGTTATCTAGCAATGTGATCAAGTTTTCTTTTGAAACACTGGTTTCCTGTTACCTGTGGGCATAATCGTGTATGTAAAAGTACTTAAAACAACAAAAAAGAATCTAAATTCAGGAAAGGCCCCATTGCGTGAACAGAATTGTACCGAGCTCCAAAGTTACTAGGAATTTACATAGGCTTCCAACAAGGGGGAGTTCTGATAATTTGCAAACCAGGAAACAGCATAACCTGTAAATGAATCAAACATCTCTGAAACTGCAGTCAGTTACACCACCTCTCAGTACAGACTGTGTTCTATCGCAAATCAAGATATTTTGTAATTTAGTCGCGGGGGGGGGGGGGGGGGATTAAATTTGTGTTAAAAACAGAGGATTAATATTCCATTTTATTTTTTGCTACTCCATGTTGCTATTTTCAAGCTCTGTAAGGACAATTATTTTTAATAGCATAACATTTGCCTTTATGTCATTCTGCCATTTAAGATTTTTCGAATAAATGGAATGTGCTACCCATCTCCTTAGGACTACAATGCTCCAATTTGTGTTCCAATGATTAGGCTAGATAGAGCCAGTAAAGTACCAAGATGATGGTGATGATGATGTCTCCACTAAGATAAACTATTTAGGTTTTGAATTTTTTTTTTTAACGTTTATTTATTTTTGAGACAGAGACAGAGCATGAACGGGGGAGGGTCAGAGAGAGTGGGAGACACAGATTCTGAAACAGGCTCCAGGCTCTGAGCCATCAGCACAGAGCCTGATGTGGGGCTTGAACTCACGAACCGCGAGATCATGACCTGAGCCGAAGTCAGCCGCTTAACCGACTGAGCCACCCAGGCGCCCCAAAATATTTAGGTTTTGTATGTCTAGTGAATAAAAATTTTTATTTATTTTTTATTTTTTAGAGAGAGAGAGAGAGAGAGAGTGTGTGTGAGTTGGGGAGAGGGAGGGGCAGAGGCAGAGAGAGAACCCTGAGCAGACTCCACACTCTGTGCAGAGCACGAGGCAGGGGCTCAATCCCATGACCCTGGGATGAAGACCTGAGCTGAAATCAAGAGTTGGACGCTCAATTGACTGAGCCACCCAGGTGCCCCCAATGAATAGAAAGTGTTAAATTCAACACAACATTCAAATTGTTCTCACTGTTAATCTAGCTGTAATTATGAAAGTGCCATTTTAACGGCCAACACATGTGATTATTGCTATTAGATTTTGTGACTGTAGGAGCTTCCCATAAATTTTCACCTGCCCCAGATTATTATGAAGAACTTATGTAAATGTGTCGTACTGTGGTGTTGTGCTTTTTCGCCAGGAAATTCAATTGCTCATGTTTTCGGTACCTTGAAAACCCGTTTAAGATAGGTTACCACTTGCATCGTGTCCATCCAGCAAATTTGGTTTACCAGAACAGATCTCTTTCGCTATTGAAATATGAATTTGGCTTTAGAAATCACACAAGAATGAGCTTGTTGAACTCATTATAACTTGGGCAATCACCACAGGAGTCATCATTTTAAAGTTAAAAGAAGATACAGCACTTGGCTCACTTTAAATGGGCCTGCATTTTGTATTTCTACTTTTGTGGGTTTTTTTTTTTTAACGTGATTATTATTATTTTTTTTTTATTTTTTTTTTCAACGTTTTTATTTATTTTTGGGACAGAGAGAGACAGAGCATGAACGGGGGAGGGGCAGAGAGAGAGGGAGACACAGAATCGGAAACAGGCTCCAGGCTCCGAGCCATCAGCCCAGAGCCTGACGCGGGGCTCGAACTCACGGACCGCGAGATCATGACCTGGCTGAAGCCGGACGCTTAACCGACTGCGCCACCCAGGCGCCCCAATGTGAATTTTAAATATCAAGTGAGATTTAGATGTGTAATAAGAGAGAAGATTCCAGGTGGGGGAGGGCACTGACGGAAACAACATGGTGGAATGAAAAGAGTGAGCTCTGGCTCCCATCATCCCAGACCTTGCTTCGAATTCCAATTCCACATCTACTCTCCATTTAGCCCTGGCCAAGGCTTTTTAATAACTCCAAGGGTCAACTTCCTCATGTATAAAATAGAGATTGTCAATAACAACAACAAAAGTAAAGCATTTAGCACATGATGGTGCTCTCTTAAGGAGAGCTTTTATTACCAAATAACAGTAGAAAGACACAAGCTGTGTATAATGGTCAAGAAGATCAGAGTTTAGTGATGAACACACTTCACGAAGTCCTGAATTTTCATCACTAGTCATGAGTTCTTATTCTCTTCCCAGACTGATGTTAAGTCAGAGCTTCTATTTCTGGATTCTGTCATCACCTCACACTCAACGTGTCTTAAAGTGAACATATCTCTTCTTCAGCATCAGCTCCCCTTTACAACTTCCTCGTGTTAACCAAAGAAAACATCTTCCAGGCTCTAATTACAATTCTCCTAACTTATGAAACATGGTCTGAATTATCCAGGCTGTCTCTAATCTATCTCTGCATACTTATCCAGCTGTATTTCCACCACTCTCTTAACCTCTCTAACACACACTTTTCATTTTAGTCTGACTGTGACTCTTGCTTTCACACACACACACACACACACACACACACACACACACATATATATATATGTATATATCTGCTAAACCCCTTCTCACCTCTATCTTTGTGTTACTATTCAACCCCCCTTAATTCTTCAGGGTCCTTTTTACAGATAGTTGCAGAAGGAAGTTACTTCTCCAAAGCTCCTCTACATGGCTAACATATGTCTACCTTTTATGCACCCCAAATATCCATAAATAAGGCCATGGTACAAATGAACCAACTTCATCTCCTTTATGTGTTGACAAAGGCTTCCTTCTTGACTGAACTTGAATCAGTTGCCTGTGAGTCCTCTTCTCAACCAGGCCTGCTGAGCCCAGTTGTAGCAAAGGATCCTGCTAAGTGAGTTTATAGAGACCCCCCCCAACCCTATATATTATCAAGTTCCCCATGTTCCACCCTTGATATCTGGCCTGCCTTTAGCAAGAATCCTGGTAAGCTAGTTTAGCAAGAATCCCCCCACCCTTGAAATCTAGTCAAGTTTCTCTTATAGTAATTTTGTACCTACTGATCCCTCTGCTCATTGGATATAGACCCATAGCTACCTTTGCTGTATTTGGAGCTCAGTTCAATCTTCTCTGCTGCAATAGTCTTTTTTCTTTCAGTGTTTATTTATTTATTTTGAGGGGTGGGGAGGAAGCACAAGTGGAGGAGAGGCAGGGAGAAGGAGAGGCAGAATCCCAGGCCCACTCTGCACTATCAGCACAGAGCCTGATGTAGGGCTTGAACTCAATGAACCGTGAGATCATGACCTGAGCCGAGATCAAGAGTTGGATGCTTAACTGACTGAGCCACCCAGGCGCCCCACAATAGTCTTGATCCCATAACAATAGTCTTAAATAAAGTCTTCCTTACTATTTTTAACAGATGTCAGAATAATTTTTCTTTTACAGTATTTTAGTCTCTAGAAAGTCTCACTCCTGGATTTTAGCCCAGCCAAAGGGTAAAAACCTTCCAAAATTAATTCCTCTTGCACTTTGAGGGTTTGGGGTGGTACTCTCAAAACCACAGACTTCACCTTTTCCCATGTACATGTATTTTGGGTCATTTTGTCTGTTTGGGGGAATTTGGGGCCCATATGAATAAAACAGGCCCTTTCTGAAATGTTTGCTTGGGAGCTTTGAATTTAAACTTCTGTTGGGGTTATCAGGCCAAGACTGGTCTGGACTGATGGTAGAATGGGCTATAGACCCTTTTCTTGCATGTTTAAAAAACTTGTGCATTTCCCCAGCATGCTGCAAAGAAATAGGTAATAATTCTACTCCTGAAGCCAATATTACACTGTATGTCAACTAACTGTAATATAAATAAAAACTTGAAACTACACAAAAAAATAGGTAACAAATATATGAACAAAAAAACTTATAAATGTCTTAAGGAAAAAAGAAGACAGGTATTCTTCAAATCGCTTTTATTATACAGTTGAAATATTAATTATAAGCTTCTAGTCTATTTTCACACAATTGATCAGGAGCACACACTGATAAAGCATGCACTGGGCAAGAATCATGGTTGGTACATTAACACATTGGGATAAGGCATGAAAACAATACAATTATGTGCTTAGGGTAGGTTCAAAATTGCCTTCAACTGACATTCAGTGTATTTCTAATTTAAATTGTGTTAGAAATATGGTATCTACTTTGAAAACCAAATGCTGTAACAGAAGAGGGAAGAACTGTGGGCAAGAGAGTGGCAGATTTCTAGTTATAGGCTAAGGTTTAGCTTTGGCATATTGTGTCATATTTTCCTATTACTTTCTGAATCTGTGAACAGCCATTTGTTCTTTAATGACGTCCTTGCTCATACTATAGCCTATTTTTCTAATATTTGTGGGAGAATACAACCATACTTTTGTTTTCTATGTCTGTTTTGGGATTTTTTCCATTATTCCTCAAGGAGGAGATTATCCAAATATTTTTCTGGAAGGAGAAAGAAATTACACCTTAACCTAACTTATTCCTATTAGGCTTTTACTATCGCAAGCAGTCATTTACAGTTTGAAATGATCATTACCTTTTTAAAAAAATTTTTTTAAATGTTTATTTATTTTTGAGAGAGAGACAGAACATGAGCCGGGGAGGGGCAGAGAGAGAGGGAGACACAGAATCTGAAGCAGGCTCCAGGCTCTGAGCTGTCAGCACAAAGCCTGACGCGGGGCTCGAACCCACCAACCGTGAGATCGTGACCTGAGCCAAAGTCAGACACTTAGCCAACTAAGCCACCCAGGCACCCCTGATCATTACCTTTCCAAGTAGCACTGCGTATTTTGCTTTCTTAGTTTATTTTTCTTTCCTTGAATACAGTGTCATTTCTCATTAAGATACCTCATAGGATCCATTTATGAGATATACAAGATCAAGATTTGATTTTTACTGTTTTATCTTTCTTTTACAAGTAAGCTCTTTTTCAGCATATGAGACACATAAAATATATAAAAATTGAGCATGCTTATGTCCAAACCTAAATTACAATTTATGAGGGCACCCATTTGGCTGACAAGACATTTGTTGAAAACATACTTTGTGTGATATTTGTGTCAAAAATATATTCATTTATTATGAGCCCTTTATTGTTTAATATTATGAACAAATAGTATTCACAAAATAAACCGTTGTTACCAAAGTTTTCATTGGAATTATTTTGTTTTATCCTAAAACTCAAAATCTGTTAGCAGGAAATGCATAAAGTCGTATGAGTCATCTGGTCCAGTATGATTCCATCCATGAAAAAATAAATACAATGTAGAAATAAATAGCTTTGTAGTAAAATATAAAGGTGTTTACACCCTTTGTCAAATAAATAAATAGCATGACTTCAGTTTGCTTTATTCTTTCATGTGAATTAGTAAATGAGTTTTTTAGCTGCCAGAAGGGTGTTCTTCAGAAGCATTGCCACTGTCATGGGTCCGACGCCTCCTGGAACTGGAGTGATATAGCTAGCCTTCTTCTTAACAGCTGATGGAGAAAACAGAAAGCCATCTTTATTTTTAAGTTTTTTTTTCTGAGAATACGATATTTTTAAACATACTGAACTATTAAAAGATAAACTGAGATACATAAAAATTTTTTTTCAGATTTTATTTTTTGGTGGGGGGTGGGCACCTAGGTGGCTCAGTTGGTAAAGAATCCAACTCTTGATTTTGGCTGGGGTCATGATCTCAAGGTTTGTGGAACTGAGCCCTGCATCAGGCTCTGTGCTGACAGCATGGAGCCTACTTGAGATCCTCTCTCTCTCTCTCTCTCTCTCTCTCTTTGCCCCTCCCCGACTAGCATGTTGCTCCCTCTCTCTTAAAAAATAAATAAACATGATAAAAAGATTTTAAATTTTTAAAGTAATCTCTACATTCAACGTGAGGGCTCGACCTTACAACCCTGCGATCAAGAGTCATACTCTACCAAGTGAGCCAGCCAGACACCCCTAAAATTTTTAAAGTTTATTGGAGTATTTATCAATTCGAGTTGGACAACAACAAACTGGAAGTGGTCAGGAGTGCTCCACCAACAAGGAGCTAGCTAGAGATTTGTAACAGAAGAGGCAGAAACAAAGCAAGGTCATTATTGATTGGCTACAACTTAAAGCCTAATCGGTGTTGGTGACTGGTCGTTCTTAGGTTTTGATTTTGTAACCTGGAGGCGTTTATAGGCTTAGATTTTGGTTTGCTTACACACGCTGCCATGGCATTAGAGCCATATGAGTCTAACAGCCTCCTTGTTTAATTAATTAAACAGAATAGAGTGGATTTTTCTGCATTACACATATCACTCTAACAACGTCAAAACATTTTTAGAATGAAGTAGGCTAGAAACACTCACACACTTAGGTAAACAATCCTGTGTGTGATGTCTAATCATCCTAAGACTGTAAGTTGAATCTCCATGAAGTTGGTTTGACATGATAAAAATCCATAATCCATGATTGACCCAACTACCTGTAATTCTCATTAACTACTCCTAAAATACATGCTATTGGTCACAAAGGGGGAACAGGACATAGACAGTTCAGCACACGCCATTTGTTAAATTGGAAAATTCCTGTTGTAACAACAGCATCATTTATGTGTGGATAATACATTCCAGTGCAAGTCTAATAAAAATCATCAAACATATCTGAACTACTGAGCATATACACATAGTCCTGTTCTAAGGTATGCAGACTTCTATTCAGTGAATAGACTCAAAGAAAATGACAGAGAACTTTCAGCAAGTTTTATTTAAGAATGTTTTCACACCCACATTATTACACATGAATGGCTCCATACTTTGACCTGCTGGTTTAGTGCTTCACCATGTGAATATGAACAATGAAGTTTTCCCAGATAACTTACAAAATTAGCATAGACAATGCTTCTTCAATGCACACTCTGGCATTCTTAATCACATGTTATTTAAGATATATTGCCTTTTACAAGTTTGCTCGTATGTGCTTCCATATGAATCAAAAGTAACAGATCTTAAGTATTATTTACTATTATAGTATTAGACTTTGTAGACCTTAAGTATTATTTTTGTATAATTTATATTGCCTTCTTGAAATAGGGTTTGTAAAATTTACATTTATCTTATTTGAAGTTAGTAGTACACAAGAATTTTTTTTTTAATCAGAGGAAAAGCAAAGGAATAATATTCTTTTACTTGAAGAAAAGTCCAAATAGGCTTAAAGACATCACAAAAAGAAAAATAGTCTAGCTAGTATGTATTATCAACCTTCTCATGGTATGTAAGCAAGAGGAGATAAGAATACTTATGATTTGGAAAGTAGTAGATTAGTTTTCCAAAAAGCCTCTCTACACATGAACGTGCCATTTCCCTCACCACACTTCTATCCAATGTCAAACACTCGGCTAAGTCAACAGCCATTTCACAAATAGCCATGAATTATCAATACTTTCTTCTTGCACTTTAGCTATTCCTTCCAACTGGAATATTCTTCTACTTTATCCATATAAGAAAAATCCTTACTATTCTTTAAAAACCAATACAATGTTACCTGTGCATGATTTTTCTCAAAAACTTCTCCCTCCAACGTTGACTTCAAAGCCCCACCATCTGGGTTCCCAGTAACCTTATACGTTACTCCGTTATGGAACTTAACACACTGTGGTGTCTGTCCCCTTAACTAGACCCTAGCACCTGGAAGGGAGAAACCAAGCCTTGACAGCTGTTGCTGTCGCCATTGTTTTTAATCTCAAGAGTCTCTCCATGCACAGATTAGCCATTTGATAAATTTTGTTAAGGTGAACTCAATAGCCCTTGAAATTTAAAATCTAAAATCAATTTGCAGGAATGTGTCAGAGGATGCAAACAATTTAGTTCATGCTAATTACTAAAAAACTCAAGCTACTAATTTGCTTGATCATGACAAACTCCATTTTTTACTATTTTTTAAAGTTTATTTATTTATTTTGAGAGAGGGAGAAAAAGAATGAGTGGGGGGAGGGTGAGAGAGAGAGGGTGAGAGAGAGAATCCCAAGCAAGGTCTGCACCGTCAGCGTGGAGCCCGATGCAGGACTTGAACTCACAAACTGTGAGATCATGACCTGAGCTGAAATCAAGAGTTGGATGCTTAACTGACAGAGCTACCCAGTCACCCTTACTTTGTGATAAGCTGACTTACTAGCATGACCAGTGCCTTCCAGGACCTTTTCTATAGACTTGGAAAAGCCATGCCTTTAAAATATCAGCAGATCTCTAGAAGAAATGTACTATATTACTACTATTTACACTGATTGTAGAGAAAATCATGTATTTGTAAAGTACTAACTTTGAAACATTAATGGTTAAAAATAAAAGACTACTGAATGATATGGTAAATGAAGAATCAAGTCTAAACTAAATCTTCAATGGAAAACAAAATGGTTCATTTCACAACAACAAGTGGATAAAATTCATTGTGTCAGGGAATCTGCTGTGGGTAAATAGTCATTTTTATATAATTTGGTTTTCAACTTGGAAAGGTAAAGCAGCTTGGAATTATGTGTATATAAAAAATAGTAATAACCCTCAGTTATTGAGTAATACTGAGTAATACTCTCAGTTGAGTACCTACTTCTTGCCAAAAACTTTATATATATTATTTGAATAATTCACATTGAATTATTACTTCATTTTAATAGATGGAGAAAGTATGTCTCCCTGAAGTTAAAGTGACTTACCACTCCCTTGTATGGTAGAGACATTATTTACAGCCAGGTTTGAAACATTCCACGATGCCATCATTCCACCCCATAACCCCATGCAACTGCATTACCATGACCCGAATAAATATAAATATCCCAAGAAAGACTCAGGTGCCAAAAATGAACTCAGTTTTCTCAAAGGGGGAGGAGGATCGTCTGAGAAAAGAAACAAAGAGGAAAGTCCGAATAAAACATTTTCCTGCATATTTCCTGTGAGTCCTCACAGCTCGTCGTCTTTGAATTATGTCCAGCACATCAAATTACACAGCTGGCTTAGCAGTCTGAACTGCTTTCTTCCTGGGCGTCAGATCAGATAAACCACGGGTCTGCTCAGGTATCATGACACTCCTCTTCCAAATTATGTTTTTCACAATATGCTTACCATTGCGTTCTTCTGCTCTAAAAAGTGAGGTTTGGAATGTTGGGAGAGGGAAGGTGAATGAGCTGTTGCGCAAAATAATACCTGCTGGAAATCTGGAGCTTAGTCTGCTTTTTTTCTTACACGTTTTCCTGGTAAAAACTAACACACACATATTTTGTCCTGCCTATTACTTCATAGAAATACACGTGATGGGTAATGGGCCTTCACCTGACGTTGGCTAGGGGTTCTCTGGACGTTCATAAGCATTCAGTTGCATCAGCTCTGTACATTACTCACTAAGCAAAGGATTATGATATCACTATGAACACACACCTGACTATCCAAGTCCTTGCTTCAAATATTTTTTATCTCTGAAATAAAGTGGATGAATATGAAAATGAAGTCGGTATAGTCATGAGAGGCCAACTGTGAGGAGTTTGATTGAAAAAAAAAACATCTTGGGTGTTTATCCCTTTTGATTGGATTTTCATGAGAATCTACATCTGAGAAAGAAATATAACTGTATCTGCTGCTGGCTAGTGTTAATGTATTGTCTATTTACATAACAACCAGGATATGGAAATATTGATTTCTCAAGAAAGGTAGGGAATTTTCATTGGCAAATGCCAGTGGGTATAGATGCCAATGCTTAAAAGCATTTCTATAGTCTAATGATTTTGCATGACTATTCCAGGGCTGTCCTACACGACATATTTATGAAGTCTCAGAAGTGGCTTCTGAGCTAAAATTAGTCATGTGAGAAAGAGTTAAACTCAATACGTTTGATGCTCTGAAAAGCATCTTCCCCAATCATGTCTGCAAGAGAGTAAGTTAACAAGCATTACATCACCAGAAAAATCTCTCATTGGCTGGTCTTTCCCTGAGGGCAGACAAAGGTTTGCACTTACTCATAGAAGATGATGCTTTTAAAGATTAATCCTTTCTGTGCAGGGGGCGGGGGGGAAGGGGGGACGTTCTATATGCTCTATTGAAAAGAATTATAGAAGCACTTTAAGGCAGTAATTTCCTTCAGAGACTTATTTACTCTGTGTTTAGGTGTGAGGGAGTATGTGTGTACGTTAAGGGAAATGCCAAATTTTCTGGATGTATGAGAACAAGGTTCAGGCTCCCCCTCTGCTATCCAAAAGTAGAGCATTCCTATGAAAACTTTCATAAGTCAAAATGGTATGAAGCTGAGGCAAATACTATTAATTTGTACGGAAAAAAATGTGAGCATTCCCAGACCTAAAAACAAACAAATGAACAAACAAACACACCTCTCTGGCTTTTCTGACACCTTAGGACATATTTTGCTAACAGGTGCACAAAATAAATGAAGATAAGCATAGATGCTCACAGACACAGTTCAAAGCTATGGCGGCTGGATGTTGCATTGTTCCCGACGAAGGAGCTTGGTG